TTCGGCTTCCAGGCAAAAGTCGCAGGGCTTAGGATGCCAGAAGAGGGGCCGAGGGTTTGGGCTTTCCAGTTGAGGATTTAGGCTCTTGCCTAAACCCCAATCCCATGCATGCTGAACTTCTAACCCATAAAATAGCAATGTTGGGCTTACCCCTAGGCCCCATAGTGGTTCCTTTCTGGGATTACCTTATAGGATTCTAGATATGAACCCCCAAAAAGTGGGGCCCATGCTTATAGCTTCGATGGGGTTAGAGAGTTTCTGGTTTGGCGAGGCTCAGGCTCCAGTTGCATGGCGTGGCATCGGACTTGGGTTAAGGCTAAGGGTTAGGGTTTCGGGTTTAGGTTTTAGGGCGTTTAGGGTTTAGGGTTTAAGGGGCTGAAAGTTGAGTTTGGATGACTTTTGGGCACAGGGCTTGGGCGTTGAGGCTGAAAGAATGCGACCTATATACTTCCTTTTCCAGCATACACTTCCAAACTCAACCGAGTGTTAAGGGCTACGGGTTAGTTTAGGGATACGGTTGAACGATTCTTGATGTTTGTTGCTGAGCGGTTCGGGGCTTACTGGCCTTGGGATAGTTGCTCTCAATCGAAGCACATCGAGAAATTAGCCTGCACACACGGTAATTTGCCGTTAGCAGTTGACATCTGTGTCCTGAAGCTATGCCGTCAGTGCTACAAGCTTTGAACCAAACATGACAACCGCAAACCGTAAATCGTTGAGGGATTTGTCCCCTAAACCCTAAACCTTCTGCTGGACCCCGAGAACAAAGGAGCACCTGAAGCTCCAAGGAACTGACTCGGTGGCGCTCCCACCTCGCTTTAGGGTTTGGGGATTTAGGGATACAAGTCGGGTAATGGAAACTATAACCCATGTTAGGGGACTTGTAACCCCACTTATAACTTATAACTACTGAATCACTCAGTCACATTGTATTGAGATCTCTTCGGAGTTCGTCTGGGGTTGGTCAGTTGGCACATGCCCCAGAAGGCACCAACAGCCCCCAGACTCAGCAGCACTATCAGCATCAGCATCAGCAGCAACAGCAGCACCAACACCAACAGCAGCATCAGTGCCAGCACCAGCTCCCGCTGCGCCTCTTGCTGATGCTGCTGGTTAATTCTGCTGCCTGCTCGTGCTGCTACTTCTACTTCCCACTCCTACTCCTGCCACTGCTACTACAAACTACTGCTGCTGCTGCTACTACTACTACTACTACTACTACTACTACTACTACTACAACTACAACTACAACTACAACTACTACTACTACTACTACTACTACTACTACTACTACTACTACTACTACTACTACTACTGCTTCTGCCGCTACTTCTACTAGTACTGGTACTGGTACTAGTCCGGGTACCAGTACCAGTACCAGTGCCACTACCACTACCAATACAGCCACTACTACTGCTTCTACTGCCATGGCTAAATTTGTGCGTGATGGGCAGCACTTCCTGACCGGCTGGCTGGGATGCCGGACAAACGGGAATCCTCTCGGCGCTTCACGCAATCCTCGTGGGCCTTGCGTCAGCCCGGGTTCAAGTGTCCTAGTGGTGGCTGGTCATGAACAGCAATCACAGCAATCACAGCAATAAGCAGCAGCAGCAGCAGCAGCAGCAGCAGCAGCATCATCGTAAGCAACAGTGCGTAATAGTAACCATGAAAGAAACGCAGGGACAACACTACTTCATCCGTGCACCCTTATCAAACGATGCCGTTGACCGTCGACATCACCGTCACCAACAATCTGCAATTCTCCACCTCTTCTTCTCTTTCAGCATCACGATGTACTAAATCGTAGCGAAAGGATGCTACAGGCTGTTGTCACTAGACTTATGACAATCCGCAACACATGGCAACGATGTCTGGATGTTTGAACACCCATAGAGAGAGAAGCAAACATCAGAGCAGTGACGACCAAGCGGGCCAGGATAGTACAGAAAACTATGAGTAGTGAGGATACCGGAGCAACTTGCACTTGCACACTACTGAACAACGAACCATCCGAAAACCTGAACCCCAAACCCGAAGTCCTGTGAAACCAATTAAGAAGGCGATTGCTGCCAGCGCTACTGGTACTACTCCTGCTGTTGCTGCTGCTGCTGCTATTCTTGTTCTTTCTGTCTAGACCCGCCGAAAACCCAGCCTCAGCCGAGAAAATAATGTACATAAGTACACCTTGGGCTTGGGGCTCAATCGCGACTGTTTTGCTGGTGCACAAAATAGACGATCTGTGCAAAGCATTTGGGGGCTGGACCCAGGGAGCATAGCCCTGTGGTGAGATGTCCACTGTCAGGACATGCCCGACCGTGCCTCGGGTGGGAAGCTAAACCCTCGACCCTGGACCCCTGCACCCCCAGATGCTCGACTTAGATGAGACAAAATCATGGACAGGGTTTACTTAAAGGATCATGGGAATTAGTAACTAGGGTTATTATTGGGGTAACTATACTTCTAACTCCAATTGGGTGTACTTATAACCTTACTTACTAAGTCCCATGATCCTCCAAGTAGGAATTGGGGGCCCTAAATTTTCAAGGAAAGCCCCAAACCCTGGAGCAGGGGCCTCTGGAACCCCTGCACACACTTCATGTGGAATACCTTATTTTGGGGTCCTTATAATAAGGATCCTACTATTTAGGGTACTTTTTTGGGGTCCCCTATTTTCGGAAACTCCCATTTAGGGCCTTTGAGGGTTTCGGGTTCGGTCAAGGCTTTTTGGTTTTACCAAGGTTTGAGAATTTGGGCCTTGGATTCTTTGGATGTCGGGTTTACGGGTTCAGGACTGTGCTTGACGCAGGGGATGGGTTTTTCTGTACACAGGCCGTTCTTGTAGGTTTTGGGATTCAGGCTTTTGACCAAAACACCAGGCCGATGTCTCGACAATCTCTTAGCACCGATGGAAGAGCATCAGCCAGAAATGCAAAACCCTAGGCTTTGAGTCACAAAACCCATGAGCTAGGTCAGATACTTACTGATCACACAGACTGTTACACCTTAACCTTAACCCGCAACATTACAACCCTAAACCCCACGCCTTGAATCCCAAGCTCTAAAGCCTAAACCTCACAACACCACACCTACACAACAGACCCTAAAACCTTAACCTGGAACCTAAACGTTAAAGCCCCTGAACCCTCCGTAAAGACTGAGGAGCCAGCTACTAAGTTCCTGGAGCTCTGCCACGATGCTGCGCATGCAATCAGTGGAGAATACGGGTTTGTAACAGTTCTCTGTATGGGTTCTACCATGGCCCTACAAGGTGCCAAAAAGATATCTGAAGCGCCCTATACGGGTTGTGTAACGGTTGATGGGTTCGTACAAGATTTGGAGTTTGGAGTTGAAAAAGATTGTAAATACTGGGGACTGATGACCGAGGCACGGAATGGAAATTTTACCGCCTCTTGGCTGACGCAGCGTTTTTTGTTGAAGTGGAAAGGGTTTAGAGCAGCCGCGGGGAAATCAACAGTCCCCATCGAAGTCTTTCCAATTCACTCAAAGATTCATGTGACTTCGCTAAGACCACGCCGTGGCAACGTCCCTAGCTCTCATCAGCTCAAGCGAACCAACCAACCAAACAAACAAACGAGCAAATAAAAACACAAACAAACACACATGGGCGTGTGTTGTATATATATATATATATATATATATGTCATGTGTATATGTATATATATATATACACATTGTATACACATATCCGGAAACACTCCACTTATATTTTATTCGACATAGCTTAACATGTTCAAGACGGTGTCGGCCGTGCCTGGCCAGTCCCCCACACTCCGTTCCAATTTCGACCACCTATGATCAGAATGTTCCAGTGGATTGGCTGGGGGAGGCCTACTGTAGGGGACATGTAACTATAGTGTTATGTACCCCGCTACACCTGTTCAAGCCCCTATACTACTCACTACTCTTACTCTCGGCTTGCAAGTGCAAAAGCTTGTTGTTTAGGTGCTAGGAGTAGGGCTGCGAGTGTCAGCGCTGTGCATCCACGTCTCGAAGCCTGTCAGACTCGACTTAATCCCAGTGCCCTCTTGCAAGTGCCCTCGCGAACATCTTCACTGTATGCATATAAAGGAAGGACGGAGGGAGGGAAGGAGGAAATACAGAAGAGAGAGAGAGAGAGAGTGCTTGTGTGTGTGCGTGCGTGTGTTCACTTTACACAGGGGCTATGAGCCTCAACTAAAATTGGACGGGAAGCTGTCGCGAATTAAAGCAGCTGGGCGCGGGGCAAGATCTGGTTTCAGGTCCCAGAGATGCTCCTAGTGTCTCGAAGACTAGAGGGCTTAGGTTTTTTTTTTGAGGTGCGAGGGACTTTCCTCTCTGCGACAAGGGATGAGGGCTTAAGCGTTAGGGGTGAGGGCCCCGCAAATGGGGTATAGGATGGTTGTATTGTAGGCTAGGATTGAGGCGAGTATATGATTCTGAGGCATTAATCAGGTGGAGTATATGTCTATGAAGCACTTGGATCCTGCGAAGGCAACCTGAGGGATTTGCAGGTTGGTGCCTGTTGGGCGGTCAGGGGTTTAAGTTTACGTAGGCAGCGAGGGTATGGCTTGGGATCTGCTTGGATGTTTGGGTGGCAAAGTCGGGGCTACAGTAAGGTGTGCGGACAAATGACAAGGCCGATTACTCCCGCTTTCCCCTCTCCTCGGTGGGATTGGATTAAAGTGCCCCGGCTCATACCATGTCCGTATTTTGGAGCTCCTGGTTTCTGCCTTCCGTGTGTTACGGCCATTCGGGTTTCGAAGCCTCGCTGCCTTCCGTGGCGGGAAGCCTCGGCGTTTTGTGGTTCAAGATCACCGGTCATGGCAGCAAGAGTAGCTCCAGTAGCGGTGTCGGCGCAAAAATCGACCCAGGGTCCAATCAAGACGTAGGTTTTTGCAACAAGCTCACACGTACAGGAAGTAGTTGGGTGCTTCTCACAAGGGCCCTATACTATAATAACCGTATAATAAGTAAGGGCCGGCTCATCACGATTCCCAGTCCTGAAAGAGCGCCAGCGTGATGGGGTCCTGGCCACAGACAGGTTTAACGGTATCCGGTTCAAGACCACAAAGCTCTAAACCCGAAACAGTTTGCTTCAGCCGCCATAAAGACTGTTGCGGTCCGCCTTGATATGTGCAGTGTAACATCATCTTAGTAGTGACAGTAGTGACAGCATACGACCGGTAATTGCTTAGGGCCTCGGGCCTTTTATGGTTGAGCTTAGAGTTTTCCTATAGTTTGGGCTGAGGACGCTTACACTGCTTGAAGTTATGCACCTCATCACAGTGGGCTTCGGGTTTAGGGTATGGTCATAACTCCATAAACCCAAGCCCCTTACCAAGATGCAACTCCGGAACCCCAGATGATAGACTTTAGCTCTTCAAACAGCCTCACTTCGCAATAAACCCCCATCCTCAAACCATGGTCATCTAGGATGCCCAGTAACCTAGGAATTACAAGGGCTCTCTTTTTGGTATTGGATAACTTTATAAGGAACCTAGGACTACAAAAAAGGGAATAAGGGTACTACTGGGCATCCTAGTTATACCACAACTCAAAAGCGCGCGGCGACGCGGGGCCTGCGAAGCTCGGACGCCAAACAGGCGTGCACCGAGCCCTTGCCGGTTCACCAACCTCGATTTCAGCCCTAAACCCTAAACCCTGCACCCTAAATCCTATCTAGGCTTTGGCTAAGATACCTTTATGGGAACCCCTTCATGGCCTAAGTACATATTCTGTGGGTACATGGACCCTTAGAGCTCAGCAAGCATGGTGAAGAGCTTGCGGTCCTGTAGCAGAGCAGAGCTGTTTGAGATTGGGGTCGTCGGGGCTCGCAGCTTGTGGAGCTTGAGCTTTTGCATCTGGGTTGTAAGGGTGTAAGCCCAGCTGTCGGAAATTTTGGGCTTGGTTAATTAAGGAAGTTCGGCATGAAACTGTGCCCTGCAGTATGCCGCATGTGTAAGAAGAGATGAGGCACAGTGGCAGTGGGGGCAGTTCACGAGCAACCACACTCGCATGTCGCTGAAAAGAACTGACGGTTATGGGCTTCGGAAGCTGGTGCATGCGCACTTGTGCAGTAGTTACTTAAAGGGTCATGGGGACTTTGTAACTGGGGTTATTATTATATTATATAGGGTTATCAGGTAACCATACTTGTAACCCCAATTAGGGTAATTATAACCTGTCTTACTAGGTCCCATGATCCTCTAAGTAGGTCAAACCAATCAGAGATCGGCTTGTCGCTTGGCTATCGAACTCGAATGTCCAGAGCATCTAACCAGCTTAGGCCTTCGGCTTTAGGGCAGCAGTAGTTGTCGGTTTGGACTCTGGGAAACTATGAGGTACTTGGACCCTTTGGGCATGTGCTCTGAGCACGGGGCAACTCATAGCCAAAGGCCACGTCATCCACGAGCAACGTCCTTGAGCCATCCTGGAGCCAATGAAAAACTGTTCTTGCTCCAGTCGACAATGTGACTCTCGTTTTGGGCTGAAGGTTTGAGTTTAAGACTTACCTGCGGGAAAAGCCTGTGAACGTAGAGTCTATACGCCCTCGGCACAGGAACGCCGACGCGAACCTTCCCTCGGACATGTGGCAAGTCCATAATTATACGTGAAAATGCGCCAAACACATGACCATCTGTTCAAAACCTAAACCCTACCCTCATTCAGTCCAAGAGCCCGAAACCCTAAAACCCTCAAGCTATGCCCTAAACCCTAAACCGACAAACCTTAAATCCAAAAATCCCCAAAACCCTTTATAAGTCCTAAACCCCGTAAGCAATCCGAAGACGCTGTCCAGCCTTCAGAAGCTCGCCGTCTCCTTCGGGGTAGTAGGGCCTCGACGACGGACTTACCTGCACTACGGTAGCCTATAATGAAGGGGTGTAACACTTAGAGTAGGGTTGTAGGGTATGGTGATGTAAGGTGCAATTAGAATAGGGTTCTGGGGTGTAGAGTGGTAGTTTTCGAAATATGAGGACCATATCGGTATATCATCACTAAAAAATCAGGCCGCCAGCGCAGTAATGTCACCATGAACTGGAGCCCTCGTGCAACGACATGCTAAATTACTGATCCCGAAACCCCCATCACCTGCTCCCACTCAGTCTCAGCCACTCCCAGATCACAAGACAACATTGGAACCCGGCTGGAAATCCCTTTAGGGAGCCTTGTGATGTCGGGAACCCTAAACCCTAAACACTGAACCGTAACCCAAGGCCCCATGTACCTAACCAGTATCGGCCACAGTGTGCAATGCCTTTGCTCCGGCCAGCGAGAAGCAGCTACCTGGCGGATTCGGGGTACAAGCGGCTAGGGCTTAGGGTTCAGGGTTTAGGGTTTAAAAGTCAAGTTTCAGGCTTTAGTACCCTTACAAGTGAATACTTGCAACCTCCCAAAAAACTAGCAGGATGTCTTTGGATTCAACGTCACTTGCGAGGGTCCTTGTGGTATATTGCCTGCTCATGCTCTGGTGTCTAGTCCGTGAAACGCCCTGAAACAACCGGAACCCCAAACAGTGCAACGGTTTAGGCTTCAGGGTTCAGGGTTTAGGGTTTTACCCACAAACCCTCCTTGAATCCCTGAAGTCCTGAGCAGGGGGAGGCTGCGAGTGTGTTTTCGCGGTTAGGTTTCGGAACACCCGGGGCCGACGTCACGGCTCCCTGTTTGATGGACCCTACATGAAGGATCCTGCTCAAGGGTGTATATATGCTTAACACCGGATCTGCTTTATATCAACTTCTTCAAGTCTTGTTTTGCGACATTAGGGGGAAATGCTGACATGTTATACCCTTATGTTACATAGTGGACCCCGGTGAAATTTCAAACCCCTGCCTCATGAGGCCACATGTCACCCTGAACCCAACATAAGCCCGAAAGCTCACAGGCCGTAACTCCCAGAACCCTACAACTCTGGCTCAAACCCTACAGTTGCAAACCCGAATACTTCCTAACCCATATAAACCCTAACCTCAAAAGTTTAAACATCAAAAGCTTCCGGCTTAGGTAGTCCCTTCGAATCTGGCTCGAAGCACTCGCCCGCAGTCGAACTCCTTCAGCCGGACATATCAATTTCAGGGTTTGCGGTTCAGGGTGTTAATTAAAGGGTGGTCCGGAGTCTAGGCACATCAAGGCCACCTCGTAATTGTAAAGGTCGGACCTTCGGCTTTACCTGTACCTTATCAAACCTTTTAGGGTTTAGGGTTTAGGGTTAGGCTGCTTAATTGGATGTCCTTATATGCGCCCTTGAAAAGGTTATGTGGGCCGAAGGTAGTTCTTAATCAAAACAGAATGGAGGACACTTCCTTAGGGCTAGGTCCAGGTGTAGTGTCTATGGGGTCTTTCGGGTTTAAGTTTAGGATGCCCGGTTTAAATACTTCGAGTGGGCCAGAAAGAGGGGATTGAGGATTTAATGTGATAGACTGCATGTCTGGAGCTGGATCCATCGGTACAGTCTCAAACCCATGAGACCCAACACCTAAGCTGGGTCGTTTCTGCTCCTTCAGGCCCTAGAAGAAGGACAGCATAAAGGCCAAAGTATATACTGTTGGGGTACATGGACCCTCAGGGAAAAGACGGCAGTCGAATCCTGTGCCCGAAATAGTCCTCACGGAAGACAGGAGAGCAGCGCTGACGGTACAGCCAGCATTCGCCTGCACAGGCTAGACCACCCGCTTGGGGTAGTCCGTAATGCGAGGTTTGATGGACCGTGGGTTGCATTTTTTACTGCTACATTACTATACCCCTTTAGCATACACCCTACTCTACTCTCAGCCACCTGGTACAATAAACCCCGCACGCCGGGTTCCCCGACCCAAAAAGAAACTGGAGCCAAATGCCTGCGAGCAGATGCTATAAACCGAACAACTATCTCCCGCAGAGGTTATACCTAAACCCTAAACCCTAAACCTAGGGTTCAGAGGTTGAATGAGTTGGGCTTCCAGTATAACCTCTGGGCCTCAATCACTCGGTTTTGAATTGGGCCCTAGCAGAACCGCAACCCCTGCACCCTAGAATCCTAACTCCTACACCCTCACGCAGAAACAACATACAATTACTTCCACCTAAATCTAAATATTTGACCTATAGGTATTTTGGTCGCTTCAAACCCCTGCAAACCCTGTAGAACTCCCTGGAACAGCCTTATAGAACCCATGAACCCATGGTTTATACACTTCCCTTCGATCAGCAACGAAGCTAGATCCTTAAATCCATACCCCAAACCTTAAATCCTGAACCCGACATCCTAAACCCTAGGAGGAGACTCTACCCAGCTGGCCACCAGATGCCCGGCGCATGAAGGAGAGGCATCCTCAGGCTCGGCTATTCTCTCCGGATTCTGTTCTTGAGGACCTTTTTGGGTTCCCTTAAAGGTATCTGTAAGGGTTTAGGGTTTAGGGTGTATAGAGGTTTAGGGTTTAGGGGTTTAGGGTTTAGGATTGGGGTTTTGGGTTTAGGGTTTAGGGTTAATGTTCCTGTATTTCTTCTAAAGTTAAATAAGTCGGATCTGTAGGGGATCCTTCATGGGGGTTGTTATGGGGAATGGACTTATGTAGGAGAGCCTTTAGGGCATGATAAGGTGTCGAAATGGGCTATCCTAAAGGTCCTAAATAAAGGGTCCACAGTGAAAAATACATTTCGTTATTGTGGTGGAACCCAGTCTCTCGGGACACAAGTCTCCACAGACCTCTACACCCTTGGCCTACACTCTGAACCCGTCAACCCTACAACCCCGAAAGCCCAAAACCCGAAGCCCCTAAACCCTAAGAACACCTTGACTTAAGCCCTAAACCCCACAGCCTAAACCCTAAACCCTAAACCCCCAAACCCCTAAACCCTAAACCCCTAAACCCTAAACCCCTAAACCCCTAAACACCTAAACCCTAAACCCCTAAACCCCTAAACCCCTAAACCCTAAACCCCTAACCCCTAAACCCCTAAACACCTAAACACCTAAACCCTAAACCCCTAAACCTTAAACCCCTAAACCCCTAAACCCCTAAACCCTAAACCCCTAAACCCTAAACCCTTAACCCCTAAACACCTAAACCCTAAACCCCTAAACACCTAAACCCCTAAACCCTAAACCCCTAACCCCTAAACCCCTAAACACCTAAACCCCTAAACCCTAAACCCCTAAACCCTAAACCCCTAAACCCTAAACACCTAAACACCTAAACACCTAAACCCTAAACCCCTAAACCTTAAACCCCTAAACCCCTAAACCCCTAAACCCTAAACCCCTAAACCCTAAACCCTTAACCCCTAAACACCTAAACCCTAAACCCCTAAACACCTAAACCCCTAAACCCTAAACCCCTAACCCCTAAACCCCTAAACACCTAAACCCCTAAACCCTAAACCCCTAAACCCTAAACCCCTAAACCCTAAACACCTAAACACCTAAACACCTAAACCCTAAACCCCTAAACCTTAAACCCCTAAACCCCTAAACCCCTAAACCCCTAAACCCTAAACCCCTAAACCCCTAACCCCTAAACCCCTGAACCCCTAAGCCCTGAATCTCTGAAGTCTCCCCCTCAGCCCCAGACCCTCGCCATTCTCGGCGCAGAGAGATTGGCAGCTGAGGAGATCCTCGGTCGGAAGAGCCACTTGGAGGTTCACAAGGAGGGTTGCGGTTTAGGGTTTAGGGTTCAGGGTGTATAACTATGGGGTTTAAGGTTTAGGGTTTATAGGGTTTAGGGGAGTTATAATGGGTTACGGCTTAAGGTGTAGGGCCCGTTAATGGAAGAATTACGGTCCTCAATAGAGATCGTAACTAAACAGATTCACTGCCCAATCGTCATGACCATGGACACGCTGACCCCTACCATACTATAGGGCCCTTAATAATGAGAATAGGGCTTTGGGGCCCATGATACTATACTTATAATCGGACCCCCCTACAATAGTAAAGGTAATTATTAAAGCCCCTATAGTACTTGAACCCAGGATCTGACCTGCACTAAACCCTAGCCCCGAAGCCTTTAAAACCTTACCTCACCTTACCTGGATTCTTGTGAAGGGATTTAGTTCAAGTTACCACAATAAGGAAACCGCATTTTTTACTTAACAAAAAACCCAGTTAGTTACCTTACCTTACCTTACCTTACCTGACCTAACTTAACAGCCGGCAGAAACTCGCACTCACATTCCTTAGACTGCTGTCGGCTGCCTCTGTCTCCGCGACGAATTCAGCGAGAATGTCCGCGGTGGAGATCCCATCCTCTAAACTGGGTTCTTGTTAAGGAATTCAGCATAGCAATTAGTAGGGATCTATAGTAAGCGATATGGTTTCCGTATTATTGTATCCCTGAGAAAGTACCAGTATAGGGCTGTCAGCAGATCTGGAACTGCATCCCATGCCGGTGAAGTAGAGTAGAAGGTAACGCATAGGGAATCCCAGCACTCATCATCCTCATGCCATGTTCACAACTTTCTGGAGTTCGCTATGGAGGGTTCGGATTGTCAGATCCCGTCAGAGGTGTAGGATAGTTTAGGATTTAGGCCTTTGGGGGGCTAACTTGGGACGTGGGTTTCAGCATGAAGAAGCAGCCCAACGCTCAACCGTACCTAGACTATGAATTGCAATACTTCCTTGGATGGCTCACTTGAAGGATCATGAGACTAAGTAACTGGTTAATGTTGGGGTAACTTTACGCATAACTTCTTATAACCCCAATCAGGGTACTTATAACCACACTTACTAAGTCCCATGATCCTCCAAGTATCCGTATTGAAATCGTCGTGCGGCCGGGTACAACTCGACCCCTTTTTTCAAACGAAAACTTTTCTCATTCTTAACTAAGAGCATTTGGGTTAGGATTTAGGGTGTAGGGTTTGGGGTTTACGCCCCTGCAGAGCCAGAAATGCCAAACCACTAGGCAACCCCCTTCGGGCTTGCGAGATTCGCAGGGTCAATGGTCCTGCCGCCCAGAGAACGCGCATGCATGACGCGGCCAAATCGAGAAGCCCTGCAGGCCATGGGAAGTGCAAGCTGCCAAACAATGGTCAAGTGTTCACGGCTGAGCGTCCGGGATGAACAAGGGACGGCGCTAGGGGTAAGCTGTGACAAGCAAGCCTGCGGCGAAGTTATCGAGAGGCACATCACACGTGCGATCATGGACATCCTACTTGCAACCCGTCTCACAGAGACACAAGCACATAGTTTGAGTTTGTGCCTTGTTTGGGCAACCTCTGGGCACTTCGGTCTCAACTTCCGTGATGTTCTGGGCACTACTTCAAGGCCCAAGAGTATACAGGGACCCTTCAAGCCAAACCCGAAACCCTAAACCCTAAACCCCGAACCAACCAACCTACCTACCCACCTAAGCAAACGCGACGGGAATTGCCCAAAGGGTCCACGTACTGGTATGGTATATACTTGTGGGGCCCAAATACCTACTATAATGGTACTTGGACCCTTTGGGTTTTCTGCATGAGCTCAACAAACTGATTGCAAGGTCCAGGGTCGGCCTCTGCAGAGGCCCAGAAAAAGGCAAAGCTCCGAGCCCCGCGAATCATGGCCGACATGGGATCGGGCTTGGGGTAGGGTTTAGGGTTTAGGGTTAATACCGTATAGTACCTTATAGTGCCTTATAGTGGAGTTTCGGCGTTTAGGGGTTAAGCTGGCAAGGGTTTGGAGCTTGAGTTTGAGGATGTTGTGCTTGGAAGGCTCCGTGACTTGAGGCCGTAGGATTTGGCAGTGCTGGCTGTGCTGATGTAATGTGAAGCTAATAGCTACTCATGCTCCTAAACTTCAACCCCGTACACCCCAAACCCTATAGACCCTACAAGCCCTAAACCCGGCCCCATAAACCCAAAACCCCTTTTAACCCTAAACCTTGTAAACCCTAGAACCCCCTATAAACCCTATAAAACCTGTAAACCCTGTAGACCCTATAAACCCTATATATCCCATAAACCACAACTCATGTTCAGCCACCGATTCCACAGCGGGCTGTGTAAAGTCGGGCCTATGGGTTCAGAGGGGTTGCCAGGCTCCAGCCTGAGGCTTAATATGTTTCAGGTATATTATACGATATGTTATAACTAATACGATTATCAGTACCCGAATTAGGGTTATATATAATTCTAATTATAGTTTTGCGGTATGTTATACTATAAGTATAGTAAGGAGCCCTAAGGAATACTATTGCTAATCATTTTGGCCCCTATAGTAGCCCGGGTTCAAATCAATGTGTTTTGTTTGTACAACATCTGACGTCCCAAGGGTTCTTCAAACAAACTACTCGTGAAAGTAACACCCCAGAAATCCGTGTTTGGGCTCTTGTAGCCCAGGGCTTCCAGGGGAGGTCTCATCTAGTTGGGCCATACCCTGCGCAGCTCACAACAGGTGCACGTTCATGCCATCCCTGCATCAGTTCGAACGCATGTCACAGACTGTCATCTGTGGGCCCGTGGGGTCAGGGTTTAGGGTTTAGGGTTTGGGGTTTTGGGTTTAGGGAGACAATGCCAGCACAACATGGCTGGGCTACCTCGCATCGCAAGCATCATGCTGTGCAAAAACTCTGAACCCCATACACCCTGAGCCCTTCACCCGAAACCATGAACCCCAAACCTTACGGGATAAATCCTACTACCTGAGCCTACTTGCAGGATCAGGGAAATTAATTAGTAAGATTACGAGTACCCGACAAAGGGGTATGACTGGTTCTAAGTATAGTTTTTCTAGTAAATGAACTGTATATATGCATATATGTATATATATATATATATATAGAGATATAGATATAGAGATAGTTACTCATTCACATGATCCTTTAAGCAGTGATTTCGAGTCCAGGGTGCCCTTTTTTTCGGCGCCGCTACTCTGCGCACTCGTCGCGGTCGGCCTCCAGCAGCGCCAGACCTGGGCTTCAAACGGTTGATGATGGACACAATCCTAGGGTTCCTTTAAAGGGATCTATAGGGGTACCTTTATAGGGGTTCCTTTAAAGGGATCTGTAGGGGTACCTTTATAGGGGTTCCTTTAAAGGGATCTATAGGGGTACCTTTATAGGGGTTCCTTTAAAGGGATCTATAGGGGTACCTTTATAGGGGTTCCTTTAAGGGATCTATAGGGCTTAGGGTTTAGGGTTGATGGTATAAATCCTGCATGACCCTAAGGACTCTAACCATGGGAACTATGGTATATTCCTTATAATGGGTTATGCAGGATTTTGTCCATCAGCAGTAACTCTGCCCAAAGGCCCTAAAGTACTTCCTTGTTAGGGTTCATATTTAGAATCCTATTACGTAATCCCAAAAAGGAACTACTTTGGGGCCCATGGGTGACTTCTCATGCCCAGAGAGCCCAATACCCCTTAGTTAAGCAATATACATTACATTATAAGGGGCTTCAGATTATGATTTAAGCTATATTCCTTAATTAAGGGGTTCTCATAACTCTGACGTTGTTCAGGGGCCCCCACCCTGTAATGGTGGTATAATAGGAATATGATAGGGCCTTAATATAATCCTTATAGTCACTATTACAGGGTGGGGGCAGCAGCTTCTAACTCTGATTCCTGAATTGCTGAGATTTATTTTTGAAATCTGCCGTGGCTTGCTGAGTTTAAAGTTTAAGGCTTAAGCCTAGGGCTTAGATAGGCTCAAAAAAAGTGTAGGCTTTTAGTTCTATAGTGGAAAATGCTCTCCCAAAGAGTGCAAAGTGTACTCATGCACCTACTAAGCTGACTCTGACTGGGTTCTGTTTGGGCTTTGGGGTGCTCTTTGCAGCCAATAAATTGGGCCTTCCATCCATCCATCCATCCATGCATACCCACATACATACATTGGACTCAACGAACCATAATAACAAGAAACACAGACACAAATGCAGCTGGATGGGGTGACACCCTGGACATCAAGAAAAACCATAACAATAGCAACATCTCCTAAACCCCATATCCTCCCCTACCAAACACGCAAACACCACAAAGCAAAGATCGTAGAAAAAAACACTGCCCCCAAAACCCAAGACCCTCAAAGCCCCAAAACTCCAAACCGGGGCGCCATCCAGCGTCTGTGCCTGCTTCGCGCGCTTCGCAGACTTCTCGAGGCCTATGGACGAGAGGCCGAGAGCGTTGGCGATGGCCTTGGGAGGGCCCTTATGGGATCCGTCAAGTGATCGCTTTGGGGATCCTTTATGGATCCATAAGGGTTCCTTCATGGGTCCCTTTCGGGTCCCTTTGTATGGTTTCGCCAACCGAACGATAAAAAGGCTCCTACAATCAAGGATCTAAGGATTAAGTTGCACAAGGTTTATGGGTTGATAGGGTTTAGGGCAGCATGGGTGACTGTACTATAGTTTGATAGGGACACTAACCTGCCACATGAATACCTGGGCTTCAAGGGTGGCTTCAAGGGTCAATTTTGTGTTACCTGTAGGGGGTCTCAAAGTGCAGAGAGTGTAGGGATTGTGGCTTATGATGGGCTGTATGCATAGTTTAAGTCCATAAGGAAGTTGAAACGAAGCAAAAGAATCTTCGGTCGAGGTCTCTGAGCCTTGATCTCAAGGCTATGATCACGTCCTTCGTGCTTCTGTTGATTTACTATTTGTGGCCGCGGGTGATCAGATCCCTAAACCCTAAACCCTACCTTGACCCTCGATCGAAAACCTACCTTTTGAGCATATACCGGTTGTCATAATAAGGAACCGTAAGAATGGTAGGTTTGTTGGCATTCGTTGCAGGAAACCGGTTATATAAACCCAAACCGACTTGAGGTTTGTCGGTTGTTTGTCTACTCGTCGGAGGTTGAAAGGGTGAGCTTAAACGGAGATGTCAGCTGTTGCTTTTCACATTTCTCAATCCGACGGGCCAACACGGGATGAAATCGATTTCTTCAGTGTTTGAGTGGACCCACCTTACAGCTCGATCCGTAACTCATTCGCCACCGCCTTCGGGAAACCCTGACGGCACAAACGAACGAGCTTCGAGATTGCGGGATCCAGAGCAGCCTATGCGGAGTGATTATATGAGGAAAGGCCTGAGAACCTACATCGAAACACTCCCTTCCTTGCTGCGGAAAAGTCGCCAGGACGGAGCCTTCACCACCTCGGTTGCGGGCCCTTTCTCCTATCGTTGGTAGGGTTTCACGGGTTGGGCGTTCGGGTTTCGGGTGTTAGGAATGCTCAGAGGTGAGGTAGTTTAGGGTGCAAGGTGTTGGGCTTGGGGTTTAGGGATTTGAGTGGCCGTTTGTCACAAGGATTAACTACCCTGGCACGGTATCACACCTTTAAGGAACAGCAAAGATATGCCTCTAGGAATGACCCCCACACTCACACACCTCTGCTTGCTTATCTTTAGCATTAATTAACCTTCCACTCTTAACGTTGAAGCATTGCGTGCAAGGCACAAAAAGGATCCACCACTGTCTGGATGCCTTGTGCCTTCCTGAAAGAAAAGAGTCTTGGACTTTGCGTTCAGACAGGATTCGCGGTTCAGGGAGGCCGGGAGTACTTTGGGCATCCTAAACATTCAGACTTTAGAACGCCTGAAGCCATCAAGCCAAGCGCCCTTTAATGCAGCTCTTATGTTACATAACTTGATCGTGGGCATTTTATAAGTTATATTACAAAGTAGTTGGGGAGTCTAGGCAGGGTTGAGGGGGGCCTCATTTCTCTGAACCCGGCAACAGGTCAAAGAATCCTTCAAGCTTTCGGGCTTGCAAGTAGGGTTTCGGGGTTTGTGGTAAAGGCAAAGGGGCTCACTTACAGGATCATGGGACTTAGTAAGTAGGCTGATTATTGGGGTAACTATACTTATAACCCCATTTAGGGTACTTATAACCTTACTTACTACGTCCCATGATCCTCCAAGCAGAGGTTTCGGGTTTTCAACCCATTTGTCAAAGGCAGATCAGGGCCTAAAGCTTGGGACAACGACCCTTAATTAAGACGTCACCAAAGGTCGGAAACTTAAAGCAACAAAGCCCGCCCCTCTCTGTTTCTCGCTCTTACCATTTTTGTGTAGGAGGCAGCCTTTTGTGCAACCTACACTCTCTCTAGACGCTAAACCCCTAAACCCTAAACCCTAAACCCTTAAAGGCATTCAGCCCTAGAGTTGAACCATGCATGCTGTGCGCGGCCCTCCCCACTAACCTCCCTCGACATTGCAATTGCCTACTTGGAAGATCGTGGGACTTAGTAAGTAAGGTTACAAGTACCCTAATTGGGTGTATAAGTATAATTACCTTAAGAATCAGAAGAAGAATCATCCGAGTTACTACGTCCCATGACCCCGTAGCACGAGCAGTAGCCTGCATGCTGAATCCTCAGCCTTAAACCCTAAGCCCTAAACCCATGCCGCTGCAGCCCAGATTCAGGTAGCTGCAGGCCAAGTGCACTGCATGAGCACCCGAGCCGGAGGTCCAAGTGGAGAGGCCCTTTCCTGGGATCTTGGGGCGGGGCGCGGTTTGAGACGCGATCGTTTATAGGAGGTCTAGTCCATAGGGTTTCAAAGCGTAAGGAGCTTCAGCTTACAGAAAAGGACCGAGCTACGGATCACATCAGGAAAAGCACCGCGATCCAGTGCTTCGTCGGTGTCCTTGGTAACGGGACATGGGCATCGCAGCAAAGAGGGCAAGAAATTCCGGGACGGGCTTTGATCAAGTGCCGAAAAAGCTCCCCGGTTGCGAAGCACAGGTAGTGCGTGTAGCCTGCCTTGGCTATGGCAGCACCCCGGCGTGTAAGTCGTAATGCAGAGGGGCTTGGGCGGCTTGGGGTTGAGGATTTGTTCTCTGTACAGCAGGCTTCAAAGAGCCAGGGTTCTATGATCCACAACACACCCCCCCCCCGAATGTGTTTGTGCAGTAGCTTAGCCTTGGACACCCAGCAGGTGAACGGTTCAGGACTTATTTCGATGCCTCCTATAACGCTCAAAAAGCTGAACCTGTGATGGTGATTGGAGGTACTCAGGGTACTTCACTACAAGGGTACCATGATGAGAGCCATATCGGGTACAATAACGGAACTATCAGAGCTCTATCAGGGCATGAGGGCGCTAAAGTGTTTTTTGCGGCACATTGAGAGAACTGTCAGGGCTCTATCTTGGTACCATAAGTAGCTTGTAGGCCCAGAAGCAGAAGGTCAGAGTCGACGTCCAGGTGGACATCTGTGTAGAACTCTTGCTCGTTGCTGACTCACACACACACACACAGACACACACCCTTAACACATAAATCACAAACACTTAGGCGCCAACGCCTAAATTCGATGCCCAGGTGCACTGAATCCACTCCGGCCCCCTGCTTGCAATTTGCCGGAAAAGATGACCTGGCATGCTTCCGGTTTGGAAGGGTTTAGGGTTTTTGATTTACAGCTTCAGGGTTAGGGCAACAAAAGCTTCAGAAATTTGACGAAGCCTCGCAGGAACCGTTCGCCCTTAGCAAGCTAGAGTACTTAGGAGTTCTAAGTCCTACAGGGATTGCGGGTTTGTCGCAGTGGGAGTGAGTGATAGTCCATATGCTGACTCTGACTCTGACGATGACTGTCACTATGGTATCAGCGTCAGTTGTCCCATGGGGGTAGCGGTTTGGACCCGAGGTCCCCGGCCTACTTGCACACAGGGTGCTTAATTATTCATTCTCCTTGTTGTGCTTCATCTTAGGACCCAAGGAAGGAATGGCTTGCTCTACATAGGTGTAAATGTCTCTAGACGAGGCAGGATCAGCTGAGGCGCACGGTGCCAAAGAAGTCGTGCGCGGGGCCTGGGATGTATGCTCTGGTCTGCTGCAGAGACGAACTGAGATTTGGCCGGCTTTAACCTCCGTAACAGCACATTCTCTGCGAGCATGCAAGATCACATATGCAATGTGCCCTCCGGCAACTGAGGAAGGTACGGAATTGGATGTAAAACGTGCGAGACAGATGTTACAAAGCTTTGTCAGAAAAACCATATACTATGCTATATCATGTTGTGTTATAAAACTATAGTATAGAAAGTTCCGTTCCTGAGCCCCCGGCACCTGCGATGCAGCTTGCAGCGCTAGATGGGCTTTGTCTAGCCACTGCCAGTAGCTGCCGCCAGAGGCATTTCGCCCATGCTGGCCATCACGGGTTACCTGCATCCTATGTTCAATGATAAGCTGACCCTCGACAAATATGCGTGAAGGTTCAGTGCCCCAATATGTTGTAGGTAATTAGGTCTGGGTGGTTTTGGACAGTAAGTAATGCTGGAAGTCAGGATGATCAGGTCTACAAGCCCTTGAAGAAGTATAGTCAAGCCGCTGCGCTCCAAGTTGACTTCCGTCCCTGAACCTGAAACCCTAAACCTGTCATGATTCAAGTTTCCTCTCATGCAGAGTTGCATTCTCTCCCGAAGCCTTGCTGACATTATTAGGGCCCTGATCCCATAAAGAGCCACCAGAGCTTGGTGCCAGGGTGCTTTGACATCTGTTTGCATGAAGATGGCTCGCCCATCTTCAGGAATTGCCTTGTAATGATCGTAATGCTTATGGGTTTAGGGTTTAGGGGCTTAGGGTTGATGGCCTGACATGTGGCTTCTGATTCATGCTGCTGGGGTGCAGGGGGCTGAGAGAATTCGACAGCTCCCCCCCGACGGTTCGACACGCGTTGCCGGCGTTTGGGCGTGCCGCTTTAGGGCTTAAGGGTTCCATTGGAGCTGTGTTCACAGAGTTGTCGCAGAAGGTTCCCGCAAAGCTGCAGTGGCCACCACGACAGGAGCTCACTTGCAAAGCAAAGGCTATGAACATCACCCACCGTGTCTGGCTTTGGATTTCAGCATAGTGTCTGAACCACCCAAGAGCTGGGCTTGGGGTTTTGGGGTTAGGGCATCGGCATCCCATGCCCCCAAGCCCAACACCTCCTACCCCCTGCAGGCAAGAACCACAGCAGCTCGGATTTGTTCTGTACCAACCTGTTTCATTGCTAGCTTGGAGAACTAGTAACCCGAAGTACACCGCAAGAGCTTGAGGTTCTACGACTGCCGACCACAGATGGGTGGTTGTCAAAATTATGGTGCACCCTAAATATTAGGTGCCGTACTATATTAGGGACCCCAAAAGGTGTTCTTTAAGAGTGTGATTTCACATCTCAGTTTCGGAAATCTGCATATTATATCGAAGTACTGACCTCAACCTTGGATTGCGGCGCGTTGGTGGGTGTAGCTCCCTGTCTTAGTATAGGATCCTAACCACGAAACAGGTTATCCAAAACAAAGGTGCTACGGTACCCGGCATCTTCAAAAGGGAAATTCAATACTCAGCAGAGCAAACAAAGCTGCAGCTACGAAAGGACTATCATGGTGCAGGGATAATAGGAGTAACATTGCGTCTGCTTCAGTCCTGAGCGCAAGCAAGACTGTCTCGGCAACTGCTACTGGTGTTACTGTGACGGCTGTTGTCTCCTTCTCGCTGTGACTATCCCTGAATCCTAAACCTTACGCATGTTCAAGGACCTCATGACAACCTCGACGCAGCATGGCGGCCTCCAAGACAAGCTTCACCACGGTTTGGAACCACTCGATGTAGCCTCTGTGCAAACAGGCACTACCCTTTCAAGGGTGCGATAAGGATACTTAATACTAGAATGGTTCTATAAGGCCGCTACAACGTGTAGGGGATCTTTGACTATAGAAGCATGTAGTATGCACTTCTCCCGTACAGGAACCCCACAAGGCCTACGTATTCGTATTGCCACAAGGACCCTGAGTCAGTAACAGAAAGGTTAAAGGGTCAAGAGAAAGATTTCAATTAGCCCCTTCTGGTCGGGGGTGGTGCCTTCAGTTTCAGGCACTGCCCCACACGCCAGGGGAATACTGTTGGAGTTTGCGCAGCCAACAGGGGATCAGCTGAGCGTGCTTTTTCCCTTAGTCTTGCTGCCGGTGCGTGTGTGCGTGTTTGGTTCGGCCACCCCGCACCCCAAGTCCTTTCTCCGAGCCAGTGCCCCCAGCTTAGTACCCGTGTGAGGGATCACATGGGGAAGAGCTATTGTTCCTGCGAAGTGGGCTGTCTTGCCAAGTGCCCAAATCCAACCCAAGCCGTGCAGCTTGGGGGGGCGGGCCCATGGAGGTTCGGGTGGCACTTTTCCCTGCTTGGATTGAGGGGCTCGGAGCGTCGAACTCTTGCCGGATCTCCCCGATGACGAAAACGGAGGGGGGAAGAGATGGCGGGAGGGAACGTTTCCGTTCGGCCGGAGTGCACCCCAGGCCATCCACTCACTCACTCACTCACTCAATTAGGAGACCCTGGCCGAGGAATTAGGGTTTTAGGGCCATTGTGGCAAGAGCTTAGGGCCTCAGGGCTCAGGGGGTTTAGGTCTTTAGGGTTTCAGGTTTAGGGTTTAGGGCTAAGGGTTCCTGTCTGTCTACCAGTCTGTATGAACTGCTTCCCCGAACCCAACGTAGTTAGGCGTTTATGCATCAACTGTTATTTGAATTTTAAGTCGCGGCTTAATTACGCAATTACTGAATAGCCGGACGCAAGTCCTAAGTACTTTGAACGACCAAAGCTGCACAAGGGACGAGCTTTGGGTTGACGGTCTGTGACGGTCTTAACTGCACAAGAGCCGCTTGTAATATCATATCCAGGTCGAGCTAAGCCAAGATGCTAACACTGACCCCCCCCCCCCATGCTGAAGCTCATATCGTCGGAAAATGTGTCTCTAATTCGGAGGGGGTTTTGATAATCGGGGGACGAGATGGTTACTCTTTCTCAGAAGACGAACGTGTATGCCTTCATCGGGACAGCGCGGGGGCTCTACTCTATAGCCCCTGCAATGGCTCTCAGCATGGCTGGAAGCGCATGAGCCCATGGCCTACCGGAAACAAGCCTACGCAAAAACAACAGCTAACAGAACCCTAAACAACGCTTTGCAGAATGCTTAAGGCATTACTTTCACCCGTCACGAGGCAATTACTGGCCTTCTATGCTCAGCTTGCTGTCCAGCTCGTGGATGTCAGGCACGCCTCGCTCTGCGAAGCCTATACCCCGAACCCGATACTGCCTACCCTAAGGCTCTAGAGTAGTTCCTTTTTGGGGCTCATATTTAGAATCCTATTAGGTAATCCCAAAAAGGGACTACTTTGGGGCCTATGGGTACCCGGAAGCTTGAGATGGCATGAGAACTGGGCATCTGCTTCGCATTGACGTTACATGCAGGATCATGGGACTTAGTAAGTAAGGTGATAAGTACCCCAATTGGGGTTATAAGTATAGTTACCTTAATAATAACTCTAGTTACTAAGTCCCATGATCCTTTAAGTATTGCTGTTGCAGGCACAGTTGCGGCTGATGTTGCTGCTCTCTGCGCAGTTGTTGCTATCGCTGCCTTTTTCGTGTCTCTGAATGTCTATGTAACCATATGGCTTATGCATACGCTTTGCGGCTTGGCCTAGCGGAACCATTTTCAAACCAGCACTTTATAGTTGCCATGGAGCGTCAGGGATTTTTAAGGTGTGGTGCCAGGAAGACCAAGTCCACGAGACGGGACATGTGATAAGTGGAGCTTCCGGGAATGTGGATGCACTATGCTGGATCTGTTGGTGAGGCTACGAGCTGCTCGGCATATTCCCAGTTCCTATCGTTGGGATGCTCTATGATGTGACCAAGATTTGCAGCAGTGTCTAACATGGGGGCCTTAAAGATATGTTGGCGTTGTGCACTCTAACTTTGTGTAGGCTATACGCGAATATTTTACTAAGTTCTCAGATGCCATTAGAGCATCTTCTGTATAGGCTGCTTCCGTGGTGTCGTGGTCGTCTCTGAACGGCAAGCTGGATCATCAACCCCGAAACTATGTCGATGTCATATCTTCGCAGAAATGCGCAAGCCGTTCCGTAATCAATGCGGTTTAGGGTGTAGTTTAAGATACTACCCCTAACGGAACCCTGAAAGGAACCATTATACCTACCCTTAAATAAAGGCACGCTTCAAGAACCCTATATTACCCTCAAACGGTCCCCAGAACCGAAGCCACCCAGGCAGGCCTGCCCAAACCCAAAACCCTGTAACGCACAACCCTAAACGTTAAGCTCAAACGTAATTCCAAACCTATGAAGCCCTAAGCCTTAATTTCAACCCTAACTTCATCCCTATAAATATAAGTCTAACTCTTCAGATCAACCCCAGTTCCAACCCTTTAACTCCCACACCTTCATTCAGTTCAACCCCAACTCGAACCTTGTAACCCTAAACCCTAAGCCCCCATAATCTTAAAACCCAACCCCTCCCAGAGCACCTGTGAGCACGCCGCAGCAAGGGGGCAGCCGGGTACTCCGAAGCCAGGGAAGCGCATCCTTGCTAGTGTGCTTACCCAAAGGCCCCAAAGTAGTTCCTTTGTGGGGTTCATATATAGAATCCTACAAGGTAATCTCAAAAAGGAACTACTTTGGGGCCTCTGGGTAGTGTTTCAGGGCCTGGGTCGCTTTGGGTCTGGGGCTTGGGTTGTAGATTGGCTTCGGGGGTTGGGTCTTCTTGAAGTTTTAGTTAGGGGTCATGACTCCGGCGCTTTGAAGGCAAGATGACAGTGGGAACCGACGAAACGGAACTGCAACTGATGCTGAAACCTGCAGACCATAACCCCTCAACAGAGGCAGTGCTGCCTCACACCGGACTTCGCGGAGGAGCTCAGCCGCGTGGCCTGCACTATAAGGGCCATATAAGGACTACAGTTTTGGCAGGGGGCTGTATGGTTGCTCTTGGGGGCACTATAAGGGGACTTGCAGCTGCTCTTAGGGTGCCCTGATAGGTAAGGTTACTTTCAGGGAGAGATGAGGAGGCCAATTTGACGATAAGGGCTCTATAAAGGGGATTATAGGGTGCTGGCTTCTGTGCAACAGTATTCAGCTCCTGTAATTCTCTTCCCGACATATCTTGCTCAAGCAACTTTCGACCGAAACCATAAGACATCGCCTCTATGTTGCTCTGTTTGGGGAACCCCAGCAACCTTTATTCAGACCCCTGAACCCTAAACCTACCTCGAGTCAGATGCCTGAAACTCGAAACACTGTGAGGAGTCTGTCGGTGCGGTGTTTTGGAGCTTGGGATGGTTGTGAGCTTCGGGACTTCAGGTGTTGAAATATGGGAGTTTCCGAAAATGGGGGGCGCAGTAGCATCCTTGTTACAAGGACCCCAAAATAAGGTTGCCCTAATTTGCGGAAATTCCCATAATATCTTAAGGTGAACGGATGTAAGGGCTTGCCAGCCCAAAGGATGGAGGCAGCTCTGTCGGAAAGTGCAGGTATTGCAGTACACTGGGGGCTAGCAAGCCCATCGCTGCAAGAACCAGCCCTATTTAAACTTAGTTTCCCAGGGAGAGTTCTGATTCTGAAGAACGTCCTGGACCCTACTGGCCCTGGAATCCTACTTCTCCTCAACTTCACTTTGTATAGCAACCCCAAACCCCACACTCCTACAGAACCCTTGCAGAGCCCTGCTGGGAAGAAACGTAAGCCCTAAAGCCTAAACCCTAATGGCAACTGTTACCAGGATCTTTGCAGAGCCCTTGTGGGAAGGCACCCTAAGCCCTATAAACCCGATAGTAGAAGCCAGAAAGTTGGAACATCAGCATCCTGATGGCCTTAAAGCTAAAGTATAGGGGATCCCAGCACTAATCATCCTAGATCCATCTTCCAACTTTGTGGGGTTCACTATAATGGGAACTCTTATCAGGAACGCCTTGTCTCGCCAGCCGAGCATCTGCCGAGCCACGAGGTAAGTACCTGGAAACGGGCTCCTTTAGAAGTGGCTAGGGTTCAGGGCTTAGGATTCAGGGTCCCTTGAAGATTTCTTTCAGAGGGTTCCAAAACGGGGACTTGAATTCGGGCTCCTGTCAGGGATCTGTAGGGATTCCTTTCATGCCCCCTTTAAGGGCTCCTTCAGTAAAAGATACCTCCATTTCAGCGCGCCGTAAAGGTTTTTATAAGGAGGTCCTACGTTTTTTTTTTCAAGGGGCTCTTCTGAAGGATTCCTTTATGGATTCCTTGAAAGATTTCTGAAAAAAAGTTGCCTTAATGGTTCGTTCCTTTAAGGATTCCCCTTGAAGGGTTTCTGTAAGAGTTCCTCGAGGGTTCTTTTGAGGATTCCTTGAAGGATTCCTTTCAGGGTTGTGTTAAGGAGTTCCTTAAAAGAGGTTACCTTACGGGCTTTGAGAGATGCATTGGGTTTTCACGAGGCTTCGATAAGTGCTGAATGCTGAATTAGGGTTTTGTGCTTCTTCTCAGGAGTTCCTTTACGGGGATTCTTGCAGGTTCTTGAGGGCTTCTTCGGATAGGCAGGGTGCACTATGCATGCCTCAGTCTTCGCAGGTTTTGTAGGATCCAACTCTTCAGAGTTTTTACAGGCTCTGAAGAGCTTTCTGCTGGGGTTCTACCCCGGTATGTATGGTTTAAGGGCCTGTGTCTTTTAAGGGAAGCCAGAAAGTTGGAGTATCGGTGTCCCGGAGCACTTAAAGCAAGGCATGAGGCATCACATCCATGTTCCAAGTTACTGTATGGCTTCGGTAGGCTTAGATTGAAGGCTATAGGGTCTAGCATTGGAGCAAAGGTCAAAAGATGTCGAAAGCCCAGTGACCCTAACTGGAATGAGATGACTTGCCGGAGGCAGCAACAAACAAAAACCTGTCTGATGAAGATCCCTCCGTTTCACTCCTTCCTAGACCCTAAACCCGAGAACCAGAAAACCAAACCTCGCAATCTGAAACCTAGAACCCAAAGCCTGCCAGGGCCTAACCGCCAGTAACTCTCGGCAGTGCCTTCAGCTATAAATAGAAAGCATCACAACCCTAAAACCCTCATACTTTAGAGACCTCTAAGCCTTATAGAAGCTCCAAACCCCTGCAGAACCCAATGAACCTTTATAGAACCCAATGAGGTAGAGAACCCAGTAAACAAACCCAATTCGAACCACTGAGCCCTACTTCCAGCGGTCCGGGCTGCTGTCGCTGCTTCGACTTTCGGCTGCTTGACTTGGCCGCCTGAACTCTAGCATTGTAATCAAGTACGCAGGATATCGCTCTGATATGCATCCATCCATAAATCCGTCCTTCCATCCATCCATCCATCCATACATCGATACAGCTGTACATCCATACATCCATCCGGACATATAAAGACATAGACATAGACATGGTTATTTGCATGGACGACATGGACGGCGTGGACATGGACATAGACATATACATACACATATACAAGTATACTTATAAGCACACACATATACATACAACTGTACCTGTGTATGTATGTGTATTTTTTTGTATATATAGATGTGTGTGTGTGTATGTCTATAGATATGTATGTATATACATAGACAAATATAGATGGTGTGTATACACATATGAATGTATGTATATGTATTCATACTATGGTATACATACTTCAGTATGCTGGAGAAGACTATAGCAGTAAACTATAATCATACGCAAAACCATGCACACCAAAACCACAAAACAACTCCAAGCAGTTCGGGGCATAGGGCTTAGTTTTCAGGAGTTTAGGCTTCAAAGTTTAGGTCTTATAGGGCTTATAGGTCTTTGTTTAGAGGGTAGGGTTTAGGGTCGAGGGTTTTGCGCTCAGTGTTGGGGAATTCTGAGCTGCAGAGCAAAGAGTGCAAGCAGCAAGAGCCATCACAGCAAAAAGCAACAGGCACGAGATTCACAAAAGCAGGCGCCGCGCTCAACCTGCTAGGACTAGGAGAAACCCCACAACCAGAAACCCTCAGCCGTAACAGCACTAACCGCCTCATATCTAACTCCTATAAATCCTGCATCTTCCAGCCCGAAGCCCGACACCCCCTAGGCGATCGACTCTGGCCCATAGGGGCCGCCGCGCGAAGTACCAGGCCACACCTGATCTTGCGCTCTTTCTTCATAACCAGAACCGGGCTTGGGGGACATCTACATTCTTCTATTCTTCTATACTTATAATATAGGGACCAAAGTGTCATCCTCCGATCTTGGGGCTGTTTCACGGCAGTTTTCGGAATGGCTCTGACTACTAGCTGGCTCTGATAGCATCGCAGCAGCTCTTGTTGACCAACTCGAGCAATCTAGCAGACCTAGTGCAGTCCGCCACCACCTGTGAGAAACACATGAAGCCTGTTAGCAAAACATAGAAGCCTGACCCCCTAAACCCTAAACCCTAAACCCTAAATCCGAAACCCCCCTGCTCTAAACATCCCCAAACCCCTAAGCCCTGAAGCCTTCAGCCCTCAACTTTCAATTCCCCATGCTTCCAAGGGAAAAGGAGGGACCCTTAATGGGGACCCCTACCCTATAATGGGCTATATAATGGGTATATAATGGCTATATTAAGGGTATATACCTAGGGGTCCTTATTAAGGGTCCCTCCTTTTCCCCTTTGAATGCTGCAAACTCCGTCTGTGTCTCTCTCGGGCCGTCTATCTCCATCTCTCTCTGGCCCTCCCGCGCGTCCTCTCGCTCCTCTCTTCGCTCTCTCCCGCTGTCTCTTTATGTACTTCCTGCAGACATTATACACACATCACATGCATAGGTACATATGTACATATATAAATATATAATATGTATATGTTGGTTTTTATATGTGCATATATATATATATATATATATACAAATAACACCGATCAAATCCCGCCAGACTTCCCAGGCACCAGCTCCGACCAGGCATCCCAGCGAGAAGGGCAGCAACCAAGTTTCCATGCTTCAGCGATGGCAGAGCTGGGAGCTTCCGAAATTCCGAAAATTTGAAAATTGGGGGTACCTTATAATCCCAAAGGGTCCAAGCAATTATCATTTTAGTGGTATTTGGGCCGCAAGAGTATGTACTTTACCAATACTTGGACCCTTTGGGAATTACATACGTTTACCTTGTAGCAATTAGGGTACTATATTAGTGTCCCGCACTTTCGGAAACTCCCAGCTGGTTTCGGAGGCAGGGTTTCGGCTTTATGGCTTCGAGTCGTCGGAGCTGTTTGGGTTTAGGGTTTGGGGCTAAAGGGTTGACGAGGAGCTGTTGTAGCACAAACAAAGCTTTGGGCATAAGGGTTTTAAGAGCTATTTCCGGTCGCTTACGGGTCTGAGGGTTTAGGGTCTCCTCGGGCTGTGGCTTTATAGGTGTGAGGCTTAGGGCTTGGGGGTTGCAGGTTTCGGGTTTAGCATTCAGGATTGGGACAAGGCTTTAAGGATAGAGTTTGGGGGTTCGGGCTGTTGTTCGGAACTTTTCACGTACATCGCAAGGGTCTTTTGAGCATTGAGGGCTTGCGGTTCCGACAGCAGCGATTGAAGCTGACAACAAGAAGGACGTTTTTTTTTCTCGTCTCGTTCTTGGACTTTTCACGAGGTGGTAGTTTCCGCCTTCTGTAGCATGCTCTATATGCTAGGAATATACGAGGTTAAAAGTGAACCCTAGTCCATTTATTGCGAAGTCCTCGGGTTCGCAACCCGAGTTCGCGAGCATGTTGATGCCGAGGTATAGACTGCTGTTTGTACTAAACCTGCGATACCAAGGAACCCCCAAAACAAAGCCAAATGCCCGTCCACCGGAACGTAGAGGACCCCTTCTCTAGTAGCATGCTAGTAGCAAACCCAAAATCATAAGATCCTGAAAGAGTAGAAGTACACCTAGGAAAGGTAATCCGCCGTCCCCCCTTCCGTGTTTTGGCACAGGTTCTTTTCGACCTAGTGGTCCCAGGCAGTGCAAGCTGGATCTGCGTGTTCGGCAGACATCCGGCTGAGCTGTGGCTTTCAGGTTAAGGGTTAAGGTTTAGTTTAGGGTCTAGGGTTTTGAGTGCGGGGTTTGTAACCATGTCGAAGGAGCGCACAGCTCAGCCAGTAGAGCTGGCGCCTGCTTGTGCCAAAGATTCACTGGGGAGTATCTCAAGTTTAGGGTTCCGTTAAGGGTGTTTTGCACAATAAGGATCGAACCTTTTTGTGCCAAAATCTCCCTCTCTCTATATGTCTATATATATATATAGAAACATATATACGCACAAACATATTCTGAAATACTATATTGCACTATACACCGGACATATAAAGTAACATACTGCATTTATGTTGCTTTATGTTAAAGTTGATCGTGAAATATTACATATTGTAAAAACATAGATATGCATGCATGCACGTACACTCGTAGGGGTGTGTGTGTATGTATGTATGTATGTATGTATGTATGTATGTATGTATGTATGTATGTATGTATGTATGTATGTATGTGTATATATATATATATACATACTTATACATAGTGCATATATACATATGTGTGTGTGTGAATATATCTATATATATATATATATATATATATATGTATATTACATATATAATATATAGATAACGACAGATATCTGTGTGTGCCCGTCATTTGTGACAACTCCCATGTCTAGCAAGCTATGCATGAAACGATCCTCTCCGGCTGGCGTTGGTGAACCGCCTGCGTCGTGTCGGCTTCGGATGTCTTCTGCACATCTCCTGTGCTCTAAGCACAAAAGCCCCTGTATGGTCTCGGTTCTGGATACCGGATTTCCAGGAGAGCACCATACAGAACAAGTAACTAATAAGAGACGTGTTCCTCAGTTGGGGGGGTCTTGGGGCCTCTGATATCGGCTGGAGATGAAACCTAATCTATACCCTAAACCCTAAACTCCTACAGTAGAAGCCAGAAAGTTGGAATATCATTATCCTAACCCCTTTAAGGTAAATTATAGGGGATCCTACCATTAATCCATATTCCAACTTTCTGGAGTTCCCTTTAAACCTTGAAACTACATAGGGAACACGGACTTCCGCCTTGCCCCAGGACTACCGGAAGGCTTGATGGTCTCGGAGAGTTGGGGTAATTACATGAAGCGATGCGATTCGATGTAGAGTTGGGCGTTTAAGGGGCCCAGTATACACATTCACCAACTTTCAAAGGGGGCCTGATATACAGTCACCAAGAACCCCTGGCACAAGCCGTACTTCCCTAAACCCCAAGCCCTAAACCCAAACAAGCATAAACCCTACAAGCCCTAAAGTCCGAAACCCCGAACCCTTAAACCGAAACCCAAAGCTGCGCAAATGGCAGGTCCACCAACGGCCAGAGCTTTCTAAGGAATTTGGATGTGTCTCGAGCGGTGCGGCACAGAGAATCCAAGATCGATTGACGCTGGTTTACAGATATGAGGGCTTATAGGGTTGGGGGGGTTGAAAGCCTAGACCCAAGAGAAACCCAGGAAAAAAAAGGGTGCCCTTTTTGCTTTAAAGGGTGTTAAATGTGAACCGAAACCCTAAAAAAGGGAATAAGGGCCTACTCTGGGTCCTAGAAGCTTAGGGGTTTAAGGGTTTGGCTTACGGTTAGGGTTTAGGGGTTTGATCAGGCTTTCGGCTCACCCTCTTGCACTCTGCTGGCCTAGTCCCATAATCCTGCAGGAGCATCTTTCGTTACTCGTGTGGGCTGCAGCTTTAAGAAAGCTCTGAGAACGGGCCTCCACGGCTCAAGTTCGAAACCAAGAGGTACGTACCACAAACCTTCAGCCTGATCCAAGCTTTAGCCTCAGCAAAGGCACATCCAGTGCCAGCAGTTCCACTTTGGAGTCTGCTGGTCTGCCCAAACGACAACGGGCATTCTCACTTTCAAGGCATTTCAGGAAAGGGGTCGGGGTGCCCTAACAGTGAGTGGCCTGGCAAAGCAATCACTCGAAGGACCGTGGTTGTTAGGTGAAGCAGAGCAGAGCACCACCCCCAAATCAGGATCGTCGTGGGGTGTCATGGAGTCATGAGTTGTTGCATGAAGTCGTAGCACTCTGCAGTGTATATATATATATATATATATATATATATATGGAAAAGCTGGTGCTGTTCCAGCCAGTGTCCGCAGCTACCACAGTCTGGACAGATGCCACCATCACTCAAGCCAACAACTTAATGACGTATGGAACCCTCAAAGGAGCGCGGATACAGTCACATTCAAACCGATTAGGAGTGATTCAAACACTAGACGGAGTGGGGCTTACGGTTCCGTATGAAAAGACCCGCACACTCTTCAAGTGCCCACATGTTGCGATCTGATCAATTGGAAGTTCGAAGATCTTAATGGACATAACCCCATCTTATGTACGGTATTATATACGGGAAACGGTGCATCGCACCAAGTCTAGAAGTCTAGCAACAGTGCCGTGATCTTGTACTGTCCTGAAGACCTTGGCCAAGCCGCAATACGGACCTTCAGTTGTAGGATCCCTAGAACTCCTTTGCATTGTCTATACTGAACTTAGAACCCTAGCAACACTTGTAATTTTAGCTGTTTCTTAGGGCTTATAATAACCAAAAATTAAAAATATTTCAAAGTACCCCTCAGTTGTATCATACTGGAAACTAGACGAGCTCGGGGTCTCAATCACCTTGACGCAGGCCCGGATTGTCTTGTAGGGCGAGCGATCAAGCGCAGGAGGTTAGGAATTGGTCATGTCATTGCCGAACAGGCTGTGGCGAGGCATGGCGTGCGAAGACAGGCGCCTGCCACAGAAATGCACAAGCTTTTACAGCTTGGTTGGGAGAAGGGGGCTACTGAGTAGCCTTGCAGCTGCTCCGTCGGGGATTGCAAGACCACGACTATACATAAGGTTGCTTCGCGGATTTATGGAAGTTGGGGCTACAACCGGCGGGAAACAGGGAAGGATTTGCGGTTTCAGGAACTCGACGATATGTCACAGATGATGGAGATAGATTCTTCGAAACTCCAAAGGCCCAGATTCTTCGAAACTCCAAAGGCCCGAGGACCAAGTCGTCAACCATAGAACGCTTCCAGGGCTCGAACCCCTAAACCGGGGTCTCTAAACGGATTGTTTGACAGCCGGATTTAAAGCTCAGCGAATCGAAGAGCTCAAGTGAAAGTGGAATGACCAAGAAAATTCAAAGCACTTTTGGATGAAGGGACGCAGTGAGCAGGATTCAGGAACATGCCTCCTCCAGTGCGGAATGTGTTGTTCGAAGACCAGTCCGAGATTTCCCAGGTCCTTTTCCTTTCGCGCAGAAGCGGTCTTGGTCTCGGTTCTTTCGCTCAAGCACGCCTTATCCTGCGTGAAAAGCAACCTCAAAGGGCAAGCTCAGACGACCTCCTACTCCTGCGGGTTTAGGATTTAGGGTTCAGGGGTGTCCATACACTCCAAGTTTCGCTGTGTTCATCGGCTGCCCACTCTCAAGCTTGCCGAATAGTCGACGACTGTTGAAGGAAGGTTGCACTTGGCGCTCGCATCTGTACAGGAGCGGCTCATGAGCGTGCTTGCTGCGAGCATATATCGCCAAGGGGGTGCCAGCTGCTTCTACAACGTATCCCTGAAGCCTCATATAGGGGCCTCAATAAGTAGAATAGGGTTTGGGGACATGACATAGTCTAACCGTAGAAAGGAACCCGAAGGAAGATCATTACAAATTCATTAAGACACTGCATTGACGTCTTATTCAGATGATTTGTGGTACTCTCCTTACTTCTGGTATGAATGTATATATATATATATATATACACACATACATATACATATCATATAATACAATATAGTATATTCAATAATATAACTATAAAGTGTTTATAATATATTGCAATATATATATATATATATATACATACACGTGTATATACATATATATATATATATATATATAGAGAGAGAGAGAGAGAGAGATTGCAATATAATATCTATATATGTATATATATATATATATATATATATATATATATATATTCATGGTTACTGTACATGATTCTTAGCTCCTTTGCTTTCTTTTTCGATTACGATCAAAGGCCATCGATCGGACCCAAACATTGAAGAACAGGGTTGGTCTAGAGTCGAGGCAGGCGCTGGCGGCACCCCCTGTGGCTTGAAAACATCCGGCAGATCAGGGCTCGGGGTAGTAGGGTTCCTTAAAAGGCTCCTTTAAGGGATCCTTTAGGGTTTAGGGTTTAGGGATCTATAAGGGAAAGTAGATCCCCCAATTTGGCCAGGGATATCTTACGCCTTGGTGGGCTTCGGGTTTAGGCTTTAGCGTTTTGGGGTCTGGTGTTTGGGGATTTAGGGTTTAGGGTCTCTGAGAAGCAAGATGCGGAAATGTGGACAGTGTAGCAGCTGAAGCAGTTTCAGGATCGATGAGAACTAGCCACAGATGCAGCAACAGCGGCAGCAGCCGCAGGAGGAGTAGGAGCAGGGTAGCAACCACAGAAGTACCTCCTGCTAGCATACAGCGCATGTTGCAGCTGAGGCAGCTTATGTCGGCAACAGAGTTTCCGGCTTCAGGGCGCTGGATTTAGATTTACATTACAGCACATGCTTTTGACCTGACTATAGTTTCGAAGGTTAAGGATTGAAGGGGCTTCTGGGAGGATTGGGGGACTTGCAAAGTCAGGGTACCTGTACCTTGATTGGGGGCTTGTAAGTAAGTATGTGTATATTTACTCAACGAAACTCTAGCTACTAAGTCGCATGATGCTTTAAATACTTAGACCTTGACACCTGAACCCTAAACCAACCGCAAGCGCTGCCGACAAGCAGAAACAACGCACGCACACTGGGAGCAAGAGTGAACACCACGACACGAAACAGGCTTCTTCGGGCGCCGCAACCCGAAACCCTAGACTCAGCCCTAAGCCCGAAGTTTAGACAAGAAGTAACCCAAGTCCAAGATCTGTACGAGCTCATTCTTTGTGGCCCCCCGAGACCTTGATCTTAAAAGCCCAGGAGTCACTGGGTTTCACTGTCTTTCGGTAGTTCGGAGAGTGACTGTCCCCCAAAACCTAAATCCTAACCCTTACACCCTAAACCTTGAGCCCTAGACCCTAAACCTTCAACCCTAAACCCTAAACCCTGAACCCTAACCTTAAACCCTAATCCCTAAACTTAATTTCTGAACTCTAAACCCTAAACCAGCAACTATGGTTGATGATATAGATCCTGCCTTACCCAAAAATAGGAATTTACCATAAATCCCATTGTTTAGGGTCCTTCAGGTAATGCAGGATTCATATCATCAACAGTATGGCAACACACAATACTGAAAGGATCATGGGACTTAGTAACTAGGCTTATTTTTAGGGTAACTATACTTATAACCCCAATTAGGGTACTTATGACCTTACTTACTAAGCCCCATGATCCTCCAAGTAGCGACTGATGGAATTCTCTACACCTTCCAGGATCCTCAGTGCTGAAACTGAAATGGGGAGCTCAGAAACTGAGGGGCTTGGGTTTCAGGGCTGAGGGATTTAGGGTTTAGGAGTTTAGGGTTTAGGGGTTTAGTAGTTCAGGGTTTGGGGGTTTGGGGTTTAGGGGTTTAGTAGTGTTTAGTAGTTTAGGGCTTAGGGGTTTTGGCTTTAGGGGAGGTGTTTAGGGCATAACCCAAAACAGTCGATCCTTACTCTAGAGCTCAGGGTCTTGTTGGGCTAGAAGGCCTCGCCTCTATCTGAAAGGATTCAGTGCGTTGGGCGGGGACGCCCACCTCTCTTAAACCCCGCGATCTGTGCTTAAATCGATGGGCCACCGACAGGGCAGTGCCTGGGTGCCGTAACGGTGGGAACATCGGGGGAAGCAGGGTATGGCCACTGTTTGGGACTTTAGTGCGTAGGATTTCAAACTTGTATAGAGCTGGGAACTGAAACGGCTTTGTGGGATATACAAGGCTCTGCAGTTTACAGGGCGTTGGGTTGCGCTAGACGTTCCAATAATTTTAACTTGCCTGATTTCGCGCTGGGCAATAGGAAAGCATCACATCGGCCAGACACAGCAGGAATCTCTCTGCAAAGGACAGGTGGGGTTGTTTGCTTACGGGTTCAAGGCGTTCGCTCCTGCCCCACTTCACATTCACAAGAACAAGACGCATGGTTGTGTAATAGCAGTGGACTGCACCCGTGACAGAGATGAACACCAACGAACACAGGAAGAAACAACACACCTTGAAACCCTCGGCCCTACACCCAAATGCAGCAGCAGACCTTAATCCTATAGACATCCCCGGGTGTAAGCTTGAAACTTGCAACACCGAGGCAAGACACTCAGAGCCTAACATAACATTAGAGTTCAGCAGCTCCAGTTCGGGGATTTTGTAGTAAGCAGAAACCCCCCAAAACCCCCCCATGATGAACCCCAGAGGCTCAGAGGCTAAGAGTGGTCAGGATCCCAGGTCTCGAGTACCCTAAGGCCCTAAAGTAGTTCCTTTTTGGGGTTCATATTTAGAATCCTATTAGGTAATCCCAAAAAGGAACTACTTTGGGGCCTATGAGTAGCATTTTGCAAAGCAGAAGAGCCTCTGTTCTACGTCAAAGATGCGGAAAACCATACATCGAACTGAAGCCCTGAAACCCAAAGGGTCCTATGTACCGATATAGTAGAATGTAGGGCTTCCATATAAGGAGTTACTATTACTATTATGACTTAGGGAAGTATCCCCCGTAACAGCACATAGGACCCTTTGGGAAAGTATAATTCCAGAAGCCATAAAGCTGAGGTTCCGCGGGTTGAAGAGCTGAGATCCGAGGCTACCCCTCTGACGTCCCCTCAATGCAGAATGCTTCTGGGCTCTACCCTCAGGGCCCAAGTACCCAACACACATGTTCTCCCCAACTCTCTAACCTACACTACTACTATCCTAAACCTAAGTACCTCACCGCTGGGTACTTCGGACCCCTGGGGTTGTAGCATGCGTCTTGCATACTTCCCGTGGCCAAAATCCTACGATCGATGTGCAGCTCCGGAACCCTCAACCCCAAACCCTCAACCCCGGTAGACCCCTAATACCCTAAACTCCTAAACCCTAAAACTCCAAAATCCTAAACCCTAACACCGAGCTTGCCACATCTCTGTTTCAGGTCAAGGCTCAGGCAAGCCTCCTCACTTAAAAAGAGTACTTGGGGGATCATGGGACTTAGTAAGTAGGGTTACAAGTACCCTAATTGGGGTTATAAGTATAGTCACCCTATAGCTACTAGTCACCCGAACTGGGGTTATAAGTATAGTCACCCTATAGCTAATTTGGGTGAAAAGTATAGTCACCCGAACTGGGGTTATAAGTATAGTCATAATAACAATAATAATAACATTAATAATCATATCAAGAATAATAATAATAATAATAATTAGTAATATTAATAATTAATAATAAGGATAATACTAATAATAATAATAGTAACCCCAGTTACTCAGTACCATCATCCTTTAAATACTAGAAGGCAGCGGGTTTGGGGGTTTCGGGGGCTTAGGGGCTCTAGGGTTCCTGGGCTTTGGGTTTCGGGGTTTTGGGTTTTTGGCTTTTAGGTTTGGGGGTTTAGGGGTGGGGTTTAAGATTAGGGTTCTTGGCTTTTAGGTTTAGGGGTTTAGGGGTTTAGGGATCAAGATTTTTTTTTGGCTTTTAGGTTTAGGGGTTTAGGGGTTTAGGCGTTTAAGACTAGGGTTCTTGGCTTTTAGGTTTAGGCGTTTAGGGCTCTAGGGAATAAAGGTTAAGGTTTTTGGCTTAGGGGTGTCGGGTTCAGG